ACCCTAAACCCTAAATCCTACATCCCAAACCCTGAATCCCAAACCCTTAATCCTAAACCCTAAATCGTAAGCCCAAAACCTTAAAGCCTAAACCCTAAACCCTAAATCCTACATCCCAAACCCTGAATCCCAAACCCTTAATCCTAAACCCTAAATCGTAAGCCCAAAATCTTAAAGCTTAAATCCTAAACCTACCCATAAGGAGCCCTAAGCAGCAGGCGTCCTGCCGCACAGCTGCCAGGACAACCTCGGGCTTGAATCTCCCAAGGATTTAGAGGTTTACGCTTTTAGGCGTGAGGGGGTTTAGGGTTTGGGCTTTACGGTTTAGTTGTTTATGGGGTAAAGGGCTCTGGGCCGGCTCTGGGGTTTAGTGACTAGGGATTTAGGGTTCGGGGGGATAGGGATGTGGGGTTGGGGGTTTAGGGGTTTAGGGTTTGCTTGGGAAAGGAGCGCTTTCAGCCCGCCTTTTTAGGAGATAGAACAGGAGCATGGGGAAGATCTCCTGTCAGAAGTGTAGCTAAGAACTATGACTAAAGTCATTTCGCTATAGCCCTACTTGGAAGTACTCGTGAATATCCAGGTAAACTCTTGACTCACGTCCTACAGGTGTCAGCCTACATCACTCCGCCTTCACTTCCATCAAATCTTAAACCTTCTAGATCCTATACCTTTAACCCTACCCCAAGCCCCATACCCTCAACTTCCTAGCCCTTAACCCTCTATCCTAATCCCCGAACCCCGATGTCCCCAACCCTTCCCCAACAACCAGGGCTCAAAAAGTTTAAGCTTTATTACAGAGATCCAAAAAAGCCCAAAAGGTTAAAGTTCTTCTATTGGCTAAGTAAGTAACCTTACCCTAACCCCCCAACACACAGCCCATCCTGAACCCTGAAGCGCAAAACTGCGACGCCTCGGCATCTGCAAGAAGCTCATCAGCAGCGTAGCGCAGGGCGCCGGAGCTCTGCCGAGGTGCGCAAGCGATTCAGGTTTAGGGGTTAGGATCTGGGTTGGCCCCTAAAACCTTTTGAAAAATATTAGTATATAGGGTCCCTTATTAAAGCCATTAGGGAGAATAGTAAATATCTCAGTGGCCTACCCAGGGATTTAGGGATGAAGGTTTAGGGACAAGGGTTGAGCGTTTAGGGCTCTAGGGTTTAGGGCTTTAGGGCAGGAGGATTTGAAGCGTGAGGCTTTTGGGACTGGGGCTTATGAGGCTTTAGGTTTTCGCGTCAAAGGGATGTGATGTTACGCCTCAGCATTAAGGGCTCAGGGTTTGGACGGGCTCAGGGAGAGGCTACAGGGTAGTGGTGCTAAGTAACAACTGAGAACCAGTACTGTAGTGGGGAAAAAATTGAATTGAACCATCACTTGGAGACCTACTTGAGGCCTCCTATACCAGAATTATGCAGGCAGAGGCCTCTAATTTTCTATGATGTGACAAGCCAAGCCGGGGACAGAAAGAAGACTCTGAAACCAAAACCCTACTCCCTTTAACCCTAATCCTTAAACCCTACTCCCTACGTAATCCCTGAACCCTACTGCCTAAAGCAGAAAGAGGAACTTAGACTTGAACCGCCCCGCAAGCTAAATCTAAGGTTGGAACTATGGGCCCCTAGTATGGGCCCTTAAACCTGGGGTCCTGACATACCCATGCTATACCCTATAGAACCTTAGAAGCCAAATTAATGCCCTTTTTTTTCCTGGCTTCAAGCCATAGGTCTCTGTTGTAAGCTATGGACATTTCGGGGTGCCAGTCCAGCTCTGTAGGAAGGCTGCGATAGTGCTGCCGGTCGTCTCGTGCCGACTTGAGCGGACGGCCGCATAACAGCGGCTGCAACATCTTGCGGCAGCCTCTGGGTCCTTGTTGCTGCTCGGCTAGAAATTCGCATCAGCAAGTGCAAAGCACCTTCAAGTGTTTCAGCAGTGGCTGGAGCTGCTCCGTCTGCACCTGCTGCGTGACATTGGCGGCCTTCAAGTGTTTCTGGAGTGGCTGGAGCAGCTGGAGCGGCTGCTGCGCCGTTTGCACCTTCCGGTGTGCCTGTCATTATGGCAGTGGCCGTGGCCGATGTGGCAGAAGCGCCTGGTTCGTTCTCACAGGCTCGCAGATTGGTTTGGATTCCTCCAATTCTGGTCCGGGAATGACTTAGGCCTTAGATGAAACCCGCCACCCGAAGGTGGCCATACTTCTACCTTAATAGGTTTTGGGCATGGATTTCATGCTTCAAGGCTTAGCTTGGGATCTGCTCTGACAATTTAGACGAAGGTCTGGACCTCAAAACCTCCATTTCCCTCACAACTAAGGGTTTAAGGTACCTGTATTCACACCCCCAACAGACCCTGTAAACACTAGTGGCTGTCAACTTGCATGTGAAGCTCTGAACGCCGTGAATCAGGCCTTCGATGCTGGCGAACACGTCAAAAGGGTGTAGGGTTTAGGGGTTTAGGGTTGAGGTTTAGAGGCTTAGGGTTGAGGGGTTAGATTTTAGGGTCTAGGTGAAGCCATGCTCAGAGACGACTACATCCTGAACGCAGAAGATCATGTCAACTATCCGACTTCCAAAAACCTTCTCTTCGCTTTCAACTCCCGCTCCCGTAGGTTGAGAGGAACGCCAAAGTTCAACCTACTAGGAGAATTCAAGTGTATTGTTAATTAAGCGCTGCGTCGTTGTTACAAGAACACAATTTGACCAGATTGCCTCACTATAACCAGCTGCAGCAAATACTTTAGGGGCCTAAATAATTACCAATATTCTTTGAGGTAACTTGCGCCATAGTGATACAAGGAAAGTAGGACCTTATTATTGGTAACTATTCAGGCCTTAGGTCTTTCCCCCTTACTGTACCAGTTCCCACAAACGTTAATGGGAGTTATAATGTTCCCTTCATAAGACCCTCGAAGGACAGTTACTGTTAGGGGGAATGACCCAACCTAAATCCTAAACACTAAACCCTTAACCTGAACCTTTTAGGCCCCAGAAACTACCCCATGATTCTTCAGGTACAGTGTTTCTCGAGCCTGGCGCACGCAGTCCAGAACCAGTGAGCGATCCCCTCGAAGTTCCTCCGCGTGTTCACTTTCTTGTATATGGGGCCTTTTCTTGGTGTTTAGGGTTAGGTTTCAGGGTTTAGGGCTTAGGGTGACCAGTGTACGGCATATTTGAGCCAATGTGGCAGGAAAGCCCGGTACGAGATGCCAAAGCAACTCAAAAGCATATCGGCGAATTCCTACTACTTGAGCTGGACTGAAATATCAAATATAGCATGACGTACCCAAACCCATGCTGACGAAACGTTGCGGCGGCCCGTTTGCTGGCTCCTTGGAAACCCTGCCTCCTAGTTGCAGGTCAAAACCCGAAACCATGGAATCTCGTGGTGTTGGGCGCAGGGTACAATCACATGAGGTTATGTCCTTCTTGTCAGATACCATACTCACAAAGATGACATTACGTTGTGGGCATGGGGGACAATGAAAAACCTAAAAGTTGAACCCGCAACCTCTAAGCCCTAACCCACTAAACCCTAACTAAACCCCTTAGCCCCAAACCCCTAACCCCTACCCCCCTCAACTCCTAAACCCCACATGATTCTCATCCCAGTTTCCTGCTTTATTTCCACTGCCTCTAGGCAAGACCACTGCTACTGGGAATGGAGGAAGTCTGACACCACCTTATACACCCTACACCCCAAGAATTGATAGTTCGGGCAATTTAAAATTCCATGCACCACCTTATACACGCTATACCCCGATAATGAGTAGTTTGGGCATTTGAAGTGGTGCAAGATTTCTTCCATCCATCGTAGCAATCATATATGTCTCACTTGAGGGACTTTTACTCTAGAAGCTCGCGCTTCAAGACCTTGAGGGGAGAGAATGTTGGTTATTTAGCCAGATGCAGCATATGCGTAATTCTCAAATCTGGAATTGTTTGCTTGGGGAAATGTGTACTGCACTCTTCCCACAGCAGTCTGCAGTGGGAGGCTGACAAGGAGCTTTTGAAAAGGGGTTCTAAGATTGAGACTGTCAGCACCTCTAACCTGGCAACCTAAACTTCAAATCAAACCTAAACCATAGTAAGGATTATAGTATTTTGGGTTCAAAATATGGGGCTGCCCTTGTTTAGAGGGTTTAACACCTAAACCCCAAATCCTAAACCCTGAGCCCAAACATCTATGAACCTGAAGCCCCGACCCAAAGAACTTAATCTCGAGCTCACAAAGGCGAAATCCCCAAATCTCACATGCCCACAACTCAACCACCTCGTCCTAATGACATTTCCCCACACCTGCTCAGAGGATTCCCCTACGTCAAATATAGAGGTACCGTACTGAGAGGGATTGTTATGGGGGGGATCATTCGGACGAGGTTGGGGGTAATTAGCGGATTTACTGTTGGGGGAAGGCGTGGCTCTTGCAATCTTGAACACTGACTTTTTTTGAGCCCTGAAACCCTAAATCCTAAACCCTGGCATTCCCTAAACCCTAAAACCTGGATCTTAAACTCCTAAACCCCAAACTGAGTGCAGGGCTGTGCTGGCCAATCGGAGGGAGTATGGACTTTGGCTAATCGCCGCAGCTACCACCTGCTGCTTGGCGGTCCAGATAAGGTAAGGCTGAGATTTCAAGTTTTAGGGGCTTTATATAACCCCTATATTTCCAATTATAGTAGTAGTTTCCATTTCATTTTCCATTATCCCTACATAACCTCTATATAACCCTATATTAGCCCTGCAAAATTTGTAGCTCAGCGAAGGGGCTTAAGCAAGGAAAGGTTTGGACTCCAGGGTCTCGGGAGCCCTTCCTCAGAATGACGTAGTTGGCTTCTAAAAACTGGTACATTCTCAGTTGTCCCCATACGAAGGATTCTAATTTTTTGGGGTCTATATTACGGTCCCTATCTATGAAACCACCGAACTTTGATTTTTGGATGGTTGCGGAGCCACAGCTTAAGGATCCGCGGCCTTGCATGCTTCCCCTGGAGTTGCCCTTGCCCTTGAATGCGAGACCGCCTTTGAGAGTAAGCAATGTCAACTGCAATCAATAGATTCCCTATTATATAGCCTAGTATATTGTAGCAGTTTCCTTTTTATTTATCCCAATATAACCCCAACGTTGTAAGGATTTAGGGCTTGGGGTTACTGTTCTGGTGGCTTCCTGAGTACCAGGGTTGCAGAAGCTTCCGTGAATTTGTTGGGAAGCTCCAAAACGGGCGCCACAGCTTCTTATTGTTGAGCCCAGGTGTTCAGGGTTTAGGGTTTAGGGCAATTATAAGACATCGGCAGCTTATCGCAAGGAGCTCCTGCTTGCTCTTGCGATGGATGCCGTTCATGTGAGCCCCTGGACGAAACTTACAACTCGTCAGACAAGACTTAGGGTGTTACACTTACAACCGCGCGCACGCCCTTGTCTGCAGCTGCAGCGGGGTGTAAGAGGGTGTGGGCCGCAGCTTGATATTGCTGCTTTATTTATCAAAAGGAGGGAGTCATAGAAGGAAACGTATCATGGAGTTCTACCAAATCGGCATATCGGACATTGCCGAAATTACATCTCTCCAAAGGAGAGAACACAAGTTTAGGGCAATTCCATGGGACCTCAGACTGTTAAACCTATACGAAATGCCCCATTGGCCATATGGATGGCAATGTTTGCCCTTCGCCGTGCTACTCGCTTTGCAGTCAGTTGCTGCATGGACTGCTTGGAGGCATGGACTGCTTGGAGGTCACAGGTAATTAACATACTGTGGCAAAAAACGCTAGTACCCCAAAGAGGCTTATACCTCTGTTTATCATGCCTAATGCCTTTCCTAATGTAGTCCCCTCATTAAGAAACCCCGCCTTTTACCCCGCCTTTTAGGGGCCTGCATGTCCATTAATTACCCCCATAAAGGCTAGGGGGTTTATTTATCAGGGGTCTACGTTATACTTACCCCTAACCCCTCAAGCCTAAACCCTAAACCCTGAACCCTCAACCCTAAACCCTAAACCCCAAGCCCATTATTATGGGTAACTAGAACCTGACTCCAAGTTACACTTTAGCTCGACCAGCCTCCTTGTCGTTGGTATATTTCTTTGGGAGGCACTCCAATACCTCCCAATTGCCTTGAACCTAGGTCCACGGTTTAAGGCTTCAGGGTTTTAAGGTTTTCAGTTTAGGGTTTAGGGTTTAGGATTTAGGGTTCGGGGTTCTAGGGTTTTAGGGTTTAGGGTTCTAGGATTTCAGGGCTCGCAGCTGAGAGTTACATGTCTGGGGTTGAGGGTTTACGGGAAGCGGTGACATTCATAAAGCTACAGCATCTCCGGATACTTTAAATGCAAGTGTATGAGAGCACTCCTAATCCCCAAACCCTAAGCAATGATTCAGATCCTCGCAGTCTAGGATTCTGGTTGACAGTGTGGACTGCATCTTTTGGAGTTTGCAATGAACTTAAGACGAGAAACCCTTAGTTCCTAGACCATGGGACATCTACTAAACGTACCGCCCAGGCATAAAATAAGAACCTCTCAACATCATCCCTGTATGATCTCTAATCATGACCGCCAGACCATGCCTACATAGCTCCCTGGGATACCCCTATCATGAGAATTTCTCTTCAAGCCGTGAGGGCTTGCTTGGAGGGTGAAGGTGGCTTAGTAGCGAATGGAAGAGAATCTGGAAGCACCTACATTGTCCAGAGTTTGGGGCTTTAGGGTCAGGGTTTAGGATTTAAGGGGCCAGAGGGACTTTGCAAGTAGGTTGCTGGTCGGTCTTACCGGGGTCATTATACGGCTTATCACCGGCTTGTTGAAGGCATAAAAACGCTGTCTACTTGCTAAGTGCCCCTCACTCTCCATGTGCGGAGTTTCGAAAGTTTTGGAACCCAGTGCTTTGATATTGATTCCCTGTGTTTTGAGATTTTGAAAAACGCGCAACCAGTCAAAATGGAGTGCTTCATGGTTGGGGAGGATGATTTATCATCAAAAGCTCCAGCCCTGACGCCCCTGGAACCGCCTTCGGATTTAGGGGTTTAGGGTCTAGGGTCTGGCATAGAGGTGATACGGCATCTTAGATAGAGTGCATACCTGACAAGAGAAAAACAACCCAAATGGTTCCTCCCAGACATTATCTAGCATGCCGAGTGACCTGTGACTAACAAGGTACATCTTTTTGAATATGATTCCTTATAAAGAAATTAGTGCCCAAAAGTGGAAAACAGTGCTTACACACACCCCTGTATTAGGGTCCCTAAGCCCTAAACTATTGAAGCTGTCATAGACCCCAGACCCTAGTTACAGTAGGTCTTGCCGGTTCGACTCATGTCAAAGCTGAAATAATTCTAGACGAAGCTACGGTCAGCCCTTTTCCTGCACCGCCAAAACATGCCAAAAGCAACCCCCGCCCCCCCCCCCCACCCCCCACCATTGATCTTCATTAAGCACTGCCTGAAGCAAGGGCTTCAATTTTCCTTTCCACGCATGTAGTATATAATTAACTACCTAAATCCAAAAAAACAGCAGCGGCAGTCTTACTAGGAGCCCTGCTGCAGCAAGAGCGAACTGTGAATCCTGCGACTGGAACGCAAGCACGAAGGAACTGCAATATTGTCCCCCCTTGAAGATTTGTTAGGGATCACTTAGGAGGACCCACCACCCTGTAATAGTGGTATAACAGGAATATACGAGGACCCTAATACAATCCTTACTATCCCTTATAGCCACTATTACAGCGTGGAGGGTCCACCTAAGCCATCACAGTGGGGGGAGGAGTTTCAGGGTCTAAGGCTTCGGGGCTTGAGGTTCCTCCAAACTACAGCCCTCATTGCTACATGGATGTACCTGCTTCTGACCCTAAACCCTCCACTCTAGGTATCCATGGCGCGGTCTTAACGCCGTCAGTCGAAGCAAACACCTAGTAGCACTAGAACCTACAGATGTCATATGAGCAAGAGTTCCTATGAGCTATAGTCTAAACTCCTAGCAGCCCCCTTAATAATACTCCCCTATATAAGCCCCCTTTAAGGAGTCTCGACTGTAGCTCATATGTAGCCAAGGCTGTTGAGGCTGCTCTCCTTGTTAGATTTTACATCTATCTTCTGGGTTGGCCCCTAAAATTAGTATATAGGGTCCCTTATTAAAGCCATTAGGGAAAATATTAAATATCCCAGCGGCCTACCCAGTCATACGCAAGTGGTTGCAAAACAATCTTTGTCTTTGGCCTGCATACCCTTGTCGGCCTCTTCCAAAAAAGCACGATTGCACACATGTGTTGCAAGCGGAGCGATCTTATTGTACAAGCTCACATCTTGTACAACGTATGACCAGATCATTCCAACAAAGGCTGCATGATAGTTACCGAACACTAATACTATCTATCATTGCAATTTTCGAAGAGCGCAGGATTGTGCCTGGTTCTAACTTAAGCTTTCTTTCCCTAGTCTGTATCTCGTTTGAGCTTAGGCTGCGAATGCTTTCCATAGACTTGCTATACAATGCATGAATCCTCAGCCCCGGAACTACACAAGATCTCATTTGCGTGAATTCATCGGAACCGGGGTCCCTTCATATGTCTAAACTCCTAATATCCCCTTTAATAACCCCTATAATAGTCCCCTATATAACCCCCTTTGAGGAGTTTAGCCTATAGCTCCTATGAGCAACTACCTTGACTTGAAGTCTGGCTGAATGACTGTGCTTTGGATCCGTGGTCCGCCCTCTTGTTTTTATTAGAACAGACGTGATTTTCTTACGGGCTCAAGATGTTAACGTAGATCCGTGATTTAAATAAACCCCGTCCCCTTCATTGGGATTATCATAGGGATCCTAATGATAAGGCCTTTAAAAGGAGGGGGGGTGTACTAATCATGGTTCTATAGCGTGATCTCGCTGGCAAGCCTGGAGCGTGAACATAGCTCTCACCAGGCAAAGGAAACTTGGCTCAGCGCGTGGTCCCTATCTAGTTCACGAATGGGCACTGGCTTTAGGGTTTAGGGTTTAGGGCGCGGCTGCTCACATGCTCCCAACCCTCGAAGCTCGTTGCCTTGCGGATACACTCATCGAGTAATGGTACCGGCAGTTCAACTGCATCTGCAGCAGCTCTTTCTCCGAAAACCTCTTGTCATCCTTGAAGTCATCAAAGCAGATGTGTACTCCGTCCGCCGGTGCACATCGGAGAAAGTCAAAAAGGCACCCACACGCTCCTGCTGTAAAAGTTGTTAAGGGTTGAGGGTGTAGGGTTTAGGGTTGTAAAACATAAGTTCTCAACATGTGCGCCCCACTCTGACGCTACTCCGTCAGCTGAGCTGAACTAAGGTGGCAGTTAGAATTGTAGCCTTCAAAACATGCAATGACATGACAAGTGCAGTCCTGACACAACTACTGTAGGATCCTTATCATCAAGACTCTTGAGACTTGAGCTTCTCAAAATGGAGCACCGTTGGGGTCCTAGGTCGATGTAGGAAATCTCAATGGATCCCCGCGATCGCATCCGGATTGTGTAGGGGTTATGCCGAGATACTCCCAAATGGACCCAGCCGCTTGAGAGGCTCCTGTTGTCATTATCAAATAACAACGCAAGCATCCTAAACCCTAAACCCCGAAACCCTTGTCTGGTCCTTTAAACCTGCAGGTTTCAACTGTAGCTGCTATCAGTATAGTGTATTCACTACGAGCGTGGTTTGACCTGTCAAAATGATCATGACTCAGTATTCTGAGAAGTGAGAAAACATATAGTCCCCCTTAAGGAGATGAAGCATGGGGTGCATAGGGATCTTAGTAACATATTGGTCAATTCCACGTTGTACCTACTTAACGGGGACTATAAACACAATTCAGGACTCAAATTTATTATCCCAGATGGGGGATTTCTTACCTCCCATGTTGCCAGGACCATTTCCCCCCAAAATGGTACAGGACGAGAATGGTTTCGACATGACCACCCACATTTTTCAGGCAAGAATGTTGTGCCCCTCAACCCAAAGCAGCAGGTCTGGCAATCCTATACATTCCGAGCGTTATCGTGAACCCCGTCCCAAATTTACCCACCAATCGCACCACCTATTACCGGCATGGGCCCCCTTGAGACCTAAACCCCTAAACCCTAAACCCCCTGAGGCCCCTGAAGACCCCGACCTCCCTTGACTGAGTTGGGCCCTAAAACCTTTTAAAAAATATTAGTATATAGGGTCCCTTATTAAAGCCATTAGGGAAAATATCAAATATCCCAGGGGCTTACCCAGCTTGAGGGTTCCTAGGGTCCTTCAGCAATTCTGGGTCAACCTCCGAAGTAAATCTCGGTTGAGCCTTCAATGCCTGTCTGGCAAAAGGAGAGCTTTAAGGATGGTAATCCCATCCCCCTAATATTGTACTTTCCTTAGACCTATAAAAATACTGTTTTTTAAATATTCCTTGGGGTTATACTACAATACAAATTAAAAGTAATTCCTAAGGACAGTACAGAATATATGAGCCCCCCCATCCCCACCCCTGTAGGGTTTAGGGTGTTTGGGGTGGAGGGGAAGGAAAATGGAAAGTACCATATAATTCTCGGTTTAGGGCCAATATTGCCACCAGCGCCATGCTCATATTACAGATTCCTAGCGTGGTGAACTGTGCTATAGAGGAAATTTGTAGTATTAGGGTGGTCGGGGGGGTCTGATGCTAGGGGGAGGGGATTAATGGGGTTGTAGTCTACTACACTAAGGGGTTAAAGGAAATGTGTTGGGCTTGTTTAGGGACTCTCCAGGGTTAGCTAGGGATTACATAGGGTGATCTGGACAAGCACATGGAGAATGAATCGGGCACTGGCTTGCACATCCGGAGTCTATGATCCTAAGCATGGGCCCCTACTATGGGCGAAGCCCGTAACCACTTTTTTCCGCAGTTGGCTGCTACTTGACCTTGCAGGGTTTTACATGTTTTATAATGCATAAGGACCCCAACATAAAGGCTTTAGGGTTCAATTCCTAAGTTTCAGGATTTGTCCATGTGTCTGACTCATCAAATCTGCCTGCTGGCAGTACTTTTGATTTCCTACATCCACGGCATGTTTAGGCATAATTTACGTTGGCCACAGGAAACCTGCCGGAAACTCAATGATTGATGCCTACCTGACACGGCGCTTGCTGGATTTGTGGCAGCGCCCCTACCCTCCCCATCATGTCGCCTACATCCCCGAAGCTTATGTATTGTTTGCTTCGCAGTTTGAGAAGCACGGAGAAGCACGGGTATATCCACGGCTGTACTTGGTGATGATAGCGTGCTTGATGCTGAGGGTCTACTACAGCCAGGCATTCCCAAAAGGGAGTTTCTCAGTATGTCGGTGGGGAGATTATACATAGCCGGGGTCCCTGAATGAGGGTTTTACAGTGATGATCTTCAGATATTCCCATATCTTCCGAACAGCCGAAAACCCTCGAACCCACAGAACCCCCCAGTGCCTCCAGCATGATGTCACGCTCTTTGCGAACGGCCTGCGCAGTTGCCAGCAAACTGTCAAGTTTGCACGGAAGGGGCTTCAAAACGTTCGGTTAACAATTGAAGGCTTTGGGTTACATTGCTTCTAGTCTCGGGCTTTGACTTGTAGTTGTGGGGCAAAGTGCTTAGGACTAGGAAGGGTAACTTGAGACCCTTAACCTCATGCTTCCGCATTTGGGCTTCTTCGATCTTGGGTGCTTTTGCCATCTAACCCGACATCACCAAGAAGAGGTCATGAACAAGAAGCACTTCTCCGAATGTTTTCCGGGGTGATCTGGTTTTGAGGGGATCATGAACTCTGAAATGGTGGGATCAATAATATCTGCTGTGCGGCCTGGGATGGTCTAAACCACGTACTTTGCGGCTGTAAAGGATTTTACAGAAAAATCCTGAACCCTACAAGGAGCCTCTCCTAAGATCAGCACTGCCAACCGTTTTGCTGGCGTAATTGGAAGGCTTCTCATGGGTCTCTCCCCCAGAACTCACATGGACCAGTATGTAGGCCGCTTGTATGCGGACAACTGTCTATTTGTACGCGCTTATGGGAATCGATGTTTGTTTGAGGGATTGCAGATTGTGGAACCTGCTACGGTACCAGGTTCCGGTAACCTACTGCCCAGAAAGCAGTATCCCATCTTACATGTGTTCGCAAAGCAAGCCTTGATCCAAGCGTCCCGATAATCTGCACAGAACCCTCAGCAGGACTGAGATAATGGGGTGTGTGTACCGGCGATATTTAGCCATCTAAGAACAGTTTGAAGGGCTACCTGCCCGAACCGGGCTAACGTGTAATGGTTACTATAGGCAGCCCAAGCAATTAACCATGCTAGGAAACCTCACAAGGTGTATTACTGTGGACCTCCCTCTTGAGAGGGAAGGACCCCTGATGAATGGCGCATATTTCGTCTGGTTGAAATGTATTGAAAATAAGACTCATAACCCTCATCTCTCTCTAGGGCCTCTGGGCAGTAGCGGAGGGGCTCGGGGTCTCTGCGCACGGCCGCCAGGATTGCGGCGCGCACGGCGGGACGCTGCCACAAGGCCTCGTAGAACAGTGTGGCTTTGGCAAAGGTTTCATTGCTGGAGTAGTAGGTAGTAGGAGGGGATGGACAGCAACATCAACGGCTGCGGCTGCAGAGACAGCAGAAATAACACCAGCCACCGCAACAGCAACAACAGAACAGCCAGGAAAATACAAAGCAAAATGACAAGAGTACCAAAAACGAGAGGTTAGTGCATCATACTGCTACGTAGCAAGTGGACAAGGTAGAAACAGTGGCAGCTGTAAGCGGGAGTTTGAATGGCCTGTTCTAAGCATGCGGGATGGCAAGCCCTGTAGACAGAAGTCTCCTTCAAGCCATTCTTATTGGGTTCAAGTAGTACCCCCCTCTATGCTACCCCCCCCTAGGTTCCCCCCTTAATTGAGGTAACTTAGGGATAAGTAGGCTTTATTAAAGTTAATTAAGGGGGAACCTAGGGGGGGTAGTATAGAGGGGGGTACTAGTTGAACCCATGCGTTCTGGACTTAGATTCCCCTTGCAAAGCCTCAAACCCTGAACCCACGTCCTACACCCCAAGCCCTAGACCCTAAGGCCTAAACCAAAGCTCTTCCAAAACTCTCGAAACCGAAATCCTAAACCCTAGACCATGCAAGTAGCAACCCTAAACCCTAGACATAAGCCCTAAACCCTAAGACACTAAACGATCCATTTCTCACCCACCTCAGGGACGGTTTTGAGGGCCATGACTGATTGTGTCAGCGCAGCCACCGCCACCTGGGGGCTGATGCTCAAAGTGTAGGGTTCCAGGATTTTAAGTTAAGAGTTTTGGGTTTTGAGTTAAGGGTTTAGGGTTCTGAGTTAAAGGTTTTAAGTTTCGGATGCAGGGTTTATGGTTTAGGGTGGTGTCTCTAAATCCCCTACGGCCCCTGACAGAAATGGTTTTTAATCTCAGCTGGCTTTGATGATTATAGACAACAGAAAATACAATTCTTTTCAGGGAGCGTACCACACTTCCTAGAGTACTAGTAGGCGGGTTGATCCCGGTCACGGAATTTCTGAGGCCTAATCCCTAAACCCTAATCCCTAAAGCCTGACGCCTAATCCCTAGCCCCTAATCCATCAAGCCTGGCCTAGACTCTAATCCCTAAACCCTAAAGCTTGGGTCAATCCCCCACCCAGTAATGGGTACCACAAGGGACTATTGTAGGTATATTAAGGCCCTAATAATTCCTTATTAAGGAGCCATTACTATAGGGGGGATTGACCTAACCTAAAGCCTAAACCCCAAATCCCTAAACCCTAAAGCCATGTTGGGGGATGAGTCACATGGTGCTGGTATGAGGTTAGGGTTTAGCGTTTGGGGTTTCGGGGTTGGGCTTGGGCTTAGGGTCTAGGGCTTGGGGTTTCGGGTTTAGCAACTTAAGGTTTATGGATTTAGGGGTTTCGGGTTTAGGGTTTATGGCCTTTTGAGCGCCCAGGGAGATAGGTGAGGATCCCGAAGCCCCCACGGGGAGCCCGCAAAAATCTGGAGTACACCAGGCTTCATGGGGTTTATAATCTAGGGCGCATGATATCAAGTTAAGGTACAGTCGGTCCTTTCCTTGGCACCGTAGACACGGTTTAAGGAATTTAGGGCTTATCAGGGAGTATTCCTTTGTACCCTTAAAGTTTGTACCCTTGGGTTTGGGTCCCTAAACCATGGAAAATGGTCCTTAATAAGGATATACGGGACCCAAAACCTAGGGTTACAAACAAAAAGGGTACAAACTTAAAGTCCTTCAGCTACTGGGATCCTAGGACGCTTTGGGAACACCGGGCCGAAGACTGAACTATGATGGTTTTTGCAACCCAAAACCATCATGTTCGAGTTCTTGGACCCTTGGTGGGGGTTTCCCAAAGTTAGGGGTACCTTTTGGGGGTCCCTATAATAAGGACTATAGTATATTGGGATCTATGTTGGGATCCCCTTATTTAGGGAAACTGCCATATGCATGTCTAGATCCTATCGCTTAGAATCTGTTTAGGTTTCTACCGCATGCCTTGTCGCTGAGGCTTCTCAGCAAACGTCGTCATTGCCAGCCACCTTGCAGCACACAGTCAGTGGGACGTTTCTTGAGGTTTAGGGCTTGGGGCTGAGGCCTAAACCCTAAACCCTAAAATTCTTAGCGTTCAGAGTGAGGGGTTAGTTTTCTGCCAGTGTAGTTTGGAACTAGTACCCTCCACCAAAAAGCGGAAGACCCACCCCACACCCTTACCTGGACCCCCAAAGTATGTAAGATAATGGCCTTTATGGCTGTTATTAATGGTTTAGGGCTATTATTTTTCATACTTTTAGGGTTCAGGTATTTTCAGGTAGTCGCAGTGTGGGATGCTGTAATCGATGGGCATATTTGACAATGAGGGGGCCTTTCAAGGTTTGGGGCCCTATAAACATTAAATTTTTATGGTTTCATGAGGAGTATATAGGGATTCAGTCTAGTAAACTTAAAAAAATCTGTTTAAACCTTCCCCAGTGGTGTTGGATGTCTCATCACCGCATGACTCCACATGACACACTAAACCCTAAACCCTAAACCCTAAGCCCTAAACCCTAAACCCTAAACCCTAAACCGTGTGGGTCGCACCGGAACTGCAAAGTGGCCCCTGGGTGACGACAAACTGATGCTCTTTAGGGTTTAGGGTTTAGGGTTTAGGGTGCTTTATCACAGGCGCTTGAGCAGTTAAATGTCTGTGCCATGGAACCACATGGGGCTTTGGGCAACTACTGAACTCCGACTTTCTCAGATGGATACATGCCAAACAGGTTGTATGTTTACGTACAGGTTTGGGCTAGGGTGCCTGCACCAAAGAAAGGAAAACGATCCACAGGATAATTTAGAATAATTTCGAAACCCCAATTTAAGGCCATTATTTTGGTACAGTTCTCTATATATTCAAGCTTAAACCCTGAACCCTACACCCAAAACCCAAAACCCTAAACCCAAAACCCTAAACCCTAAGCCCTAAACCCTAAGCTATAAACGGCCAAGGATCCTGAAACCCAACAACATCATGCAGCATGCCTTGCAAAGCCCCCCCAAACTCGACACCCTAAACCTTAAATAGGTTTAGGGTTTTGGGTTTAGAATTTAGGGTTTTAGGGTTTCGGGTTTTAGGGTTTGGGGTTTTAGGGTTTCGGGTTTAGGGTTGTAGAGTTTAGGGTTTTGGGGTTTAGGGTTTTAGGCTTCAGGGTTGGGGTTTAAGCTTTAGGGTATTAGTTTCGATTCTATTTTCCATTATCCAAATAACTCTATATAACCCCTGTAAATCCTGTACTTGCCATTTTCTTTTCCATTATCACAGAATAACCCTATACAACCCTTGTAATTCCTGTACTTTCCATTTTCTTTTCCATTATCCCAATATAACCCCTGTAATCCCTGTAGCTTCCATTTTTCCATTATCACAATAGAAACCCAGTATAACCCCTGTAATCCCTGTAGTTTCTTTTTTCTTTTCAATTATCCCAATCTAACCCTTATATAACCCCTGTAATCCCTGTAGTTTCCATTTTCTTTTCCATTATCCAAATCTAACCCTTATATAACCCCTGTAATCCCTGTAGTTTCCATTTTCTTTTCCATTATCCCAATGTAACCCTATATAACCCCTGTAATCCCTGTAGTTTCCTTTTTCTTTTCCATTATCCCGATATAACCCTAATATAACCTGTGGTTTCCATTCTCTTTTCCATTATCCCGATATAACCCTAATATAGCCCCTGTAGTTTCCATGTTCTTTTTCATTATCCCAATCTAACCCTAATAAAGCCCCTGTAGTTTCCATTGTCTTTTCCATCATCCCAATATACCCCCAATATAACCCCTGTGATTTCCAATTCTCTTTTCCATTATCCCAATATAACCCCAATATAACCCCTAAAGCAACCCAGGGAGATTGAGGGCGAAACCGTGCAGCGTCCTTCATCTAGATGAATCCGCACCTTGCCCAGGCTTGGGCTGACATATGGAAACGATTGAAAAGCCATATGAGCTATAGTCTAAACTCCTAGTAACCCCCTCTATAACCCATATAAAACTCCCCAATATAATCCCCTATATGACCCCCTTTAAGGAGTTTAGACTACAGCTCATATAGGGTCTAGGGCTGAGGGTTACATCCCTGGGGCACTTTGTATTTCGGAGCTCACACATTCCACGAACCATGGGAGCAGTGACCCGAATGCAGAAAGCAATCTTCGGGTATCCTGAAAAGATTCTGCCGATGCTGCTGTGGGCGACCTCATGGAAAAGATACCAGAATTTTGGGTTTAGGGCTTTTTGCTGATGGGCAGAGTGTGTGGATTGCTACAGGCAGGGTCAGCTGTCCACTTCTGCAGTTGTAACAACCAATAGTCAAGCAGAAATGCCAGCACTCTGAAACAAAAACAAGCCCAAAGGATCCATGTAGCTATATCGAATTTACTTAGGGCCGAAAGGGGTTCCCATATGAGGATTTTAAGACCCAAATAGATACTATATAGCTACATGGACGCTTTGGGAAGAAGAAAAGCCCCACCTTCACTGTGCCGAGCCCAAAGACCCGAAGAATCAGGCATTCCCATTTATTTGGAGGATCTCGAGACTGAGTAAGTCAACGTAGTAACTTGGGGGCATGGAGCTTATAATAAGGGTTGCCAAGGATACTATTTAGATTGACCAAGTCTAACGATCATCCACGTACCGGGAAAACCTTCCTCGGTACACCTGAACCGAATGAATACACGAAACACAAGCACACCAGACATCTCCCAAATCTCTCTTCCGATAGGGTTGAAGGTTTAGGGCTGATACAAAAGATCTCATCGCTCCAGTACCCTCGGCTGCTTTTTAATAGGGTTGACCGTCGACCGTGTACAAGCAATTCTGACGGGATAGGCGTGGGGATACATTTTCCCGCTACCTTTTTCAAGACCAACACCCTAAACCCTTAACCGCGGCCAATTTTGGACTCTAAAGCCCTTAAATTGTGGGATCCTACCCTAGAGCTGAGTGCCTAAAAATAATACCTACGTTGGGCCTCCAATGTGGGTGGGTTGTCAAAATTATGGGCCCTTTTTGGATCCCTATTATACTACGGCACCTAATATTTAGGGTACGTGGGAAGGGATATATTGTAATATATTTGGTAACCACAAGGTCCCTCAAAGTAGGGCTGGCGCCACTCGGTGAGAGGTAGCTTGGGACACGTACAGCCTCAGCGGCACAGGCGACAGCTTGTAAGCGGCAGCAAGCATATCCAAAGATGAAGTGCTACCTTCTTTCTGTGCGTGCATGGGCTAACTCAGGGAAGATCCATTCCAAGATTCCAAAGTGCCGAGTTACAGCTTTTGCTGACTTGCAGAGGGAATTCCTGAGGCTCCTCCAGCTTTTACCGGCATAGGAGTTCGACCTGGGCACTGAAATACTGTAGGATTAGTTTAAGGGTTTAGGGTTGTCTTGAATTAGGGTGAGTAGTCCTCCTGTGGAGGTTCGAATTAGGCCTTTGCTTGTTGGTGAACATGCGAGAAGCCCCACTGTCCCTGCAGCATTGAAAATTGCATAAAGAGACATTGTCGGAATCAGTGTCCTCACCAAGAGCATGAAGGCAATGACGATCCATCTGACTGATATCAGCGTCGAAACTCCCAAGTCCAGAAAGAGAACTGGAAATCGAAGATGGGATCCATGCCCAACATCAAAGCCGGATCAGGAGAAGGCGATCATCGATGGCGAGTAACACTGATTGACAAAAGC